GGGGAGCCCTGCTCCGGGGTGAAGGCGGAGGGGGAACCCCCGGCGCGGTCTGCCCTCCCGGGGAGCAAAGCCTGTTGCAGGGCATGGGGCAGCTCGGTTGGGAAGGGTCCCCACCCGCCACCCCCCGATTGCGGAGAGGCTCCGGTTCCCTCGGCTGTAACCTGCAGCACAAAGGGTGCTCTACTGAGCGCGTGGCCAAGCCAGCGGGTGCCCTTGGGCCAGTCGCTCCCTCTCAGCCCCAGGAAAGCAGGCAATTGCCAGGGAAAAAAACCTTGCCGAGGAAGCTGCAGGAACTCATCCAGGCGGCTGCCAGGTGTCGAACACTGACTCCAAGGCACAAAAGAATAAGAAGTAAATCAAATGACAAAGACCAGGCGTCTTGGGCATCTTCCCAAGGGGTTCTCCTTCCTAGGCTGATGACCACCTCCTTTCTGAAGCTAACCCCCAAGCTTTGAGGCGTCCAGGATGCGCGTTTCTGGTTTGCAAGAGAGCCTCTCAGCCACTGCTCCATCCAGGAGCCTGCCTGACCTGTGGATGTTCCCATCTTGGGGGTCCGGAAGGAAAGAAGGGGGGGAGTGGCGTAAGTGGGGTGCAGGGTAATAGTTGCATTTAAGCCAGCGAGGATTTTGAGGGGGAGTAAATCCCTTGCGGGTAGCATCGTGCGTTGCATGAGCCCAGCCTGTGTTAAGTTTGTGACTCAGTGCGTCTTGTAAAGCCAGAAAAGTGGATGGTGGGCAAACAGCCACGGAGATCCAGTCTGTCAGGGGATGCATTAAAATGGTGTCTTCAAGTTAATCCATCCTTAGGAGAGATGTCTGCTGAAATCTCTTTGCATCACTCCTGTTCATGTTTTGAAGACCGTCAAGGACACCTTCGGATCCTCTGCTGAAGGCCTCTGCCATGCCAAGTCATTGGCTCCAACCCTTTCCGCTCCTTTCTCAAAGGTCAGAGATCAAATGCTTTCCCCCTAAACATGAGGGCTAAGCAGGACACAGACTCAGAGATCCTTCAGGCAACGGCTCTTTATTCTGCCACCGAGTTTCAGCAAAGAAAAGTCTTTCCCATTGCACTCTGTGGGATACTTTTTAGCTAAGGACTGAAGCCAGCCTCGTACAAGGACAGTGGAGTCTCAGAGGGCGACTCAGGCCACAGGGCTTGGTTCACGTGGGCCAAGCCATCATTTACCTGGGGCTTACCGAATGAACTTAAGTAAGCCATAAGCCAAGATTTGGAAACTCCAGAGACTGCAAGGAACTGCAAGAGCCAAGTAAATCGC